GTTTACACTTGAACTCAAAAAAGATGGCAAACTTCCTTTCCTTAACATCCTCCTGTGCAGATCTCCCGACAGTGACAAACTTCTCTTCAAAGTATATACAAAACCCACCAACAAGGATGATCTTATGCACTTCTATTCTCACCAGTACACCCACACTAAAAGAGGAGTCTTCATTGGCTTCTTCTTGAGAGCTCTTCGCATCTCCAGCCCCTGTTTTCTTGAAGAGTGTATTTACATAACACAAGCCTTTATACATCTTCAGTTTCCATCTTTCTTCATCCGAGATTGCAGACTCAGGCACAAGTTATCCTCAACAAACCCCCCATGGAACAGCCCTCTAAGCAGTTCATAGTGCTCCCATGTGGTGACATCGCCACAAATATTTCCCAGGCACTTGTTAAGAGTAACATAAATGTTTCCACCATAAACACATCATCTGTTAAAGACCTCGCTATGAAATGCAGCCCCACACCTCTAACTTCCACAGCGGGCATCTACACCATTCCCTGAGGATTCTGTCCCAAGAAATATGTTGGAGAAACAGGCAGAGATCTTGCAATCCGCCTGAGTGAGAATCGAAATGACAGTAACAGAGACAACATAAGGTATGCCTGTGTCCTCCACAGAGACTCCATGGGGCATTTGATGAATTAGGATGAGACACAACACGTTCTCGCTGAACAAGACCTTAGATGCCAATGGTGCCTGGAAGTCTCCCTAATCGCCGTCACCAACACAACAGAACATAATACGTACTGGAAACTACAAAATTTCTAAAACATTAGCATACATGATACTCAACCAGGCAAAGCACCAGACACATAATCTCATCATGTACCCGTCCTCATCCCAATATGGCATTCTTCAGGTCACCATGCGTCACTCACACCTCACTCTCCACCTATATACATACTGTCTTTTAACCTCTGTATGTTAGAAGCGATCAAGGTCCCAGAACCGAAATGTTTTCTAATAAATATGTCCTAGTGATTGCTTATGTGTTTTTCTAAGCCAACTTGTCGGCATTTATTACCAAGGTTTATACCTAATTATAATATTAATCAGTTTTAGATACAACAGTGTATTATATAGCTACTGATGTTGCATAACAGAGTCTTTCAGTAGGTAGACAATGACTTAATGGATTTTATGTACTGTACTGTGTGAACAATACACCACAAAACATATTCACTGAATTTTATTATAACCTAATTTTAAATCTGCATGTTACCTCGTGATTCCTGGTGCTGATGCCAAATGTGGCCTTATGTTTAAGCTGAAGACCTGCAGTGTGTAGCTTTATAACCTTCACAAAGCTTCCAATGAAACTTATGAATATAAAATATTAAACTTTTTTCCTTATTGATTTCTTGGCCTACACATCATCTTTCCCATTTAGAACAGGGTGGATCTAGCATGAAGTAGATACCTAACATGAGTGAGTTCTCAAGTTACAATGAAGTGACATGAACAGCTCTGTCAACTCTGCTAAGCTACCTCACACTTATTGCATCTGTAACTATATATTATATGGTCCTACTTAAGTTCCGTGGGGACAAAGAACTTATCCATGAAGGTAAAAAGGGGATATACCAGAGTACAGTGGTACCAACACTGTTGTAATAGTGTGAATAATGGGTTTCGAATGTTGCAGTGAGGAGGAAGCTAGAGGTAGTAGAGCTGTCGTGTTTGAAAGCAATGCGTGGTGTCAGTATTATCCAGAGAATTCGGAGTCTGGAGAGTAGAAGAGGGCTAAGGAGGTTCGAACGTTTAGAGAGGATATAGAAGATAGGATGACTAAGAGGATGTATAAATCTCAGGTGGAGGGATGGAGGAAGTTGGAATTGTCCTTGGAAAAGTTGGATGGCAGGGGTACAAGAGTTTTTGAGTGCTAGGGGCTTGGAAATCTAACAGGCTTGTGTGAGTGTGTTAGGAGTGGAGGCAAGTGGTTTTTATGATTTAATGTACTGTAGGAATGTGAGCAGGGTAACATTCATGAAGGAATTCAGGGAAACCCATCACCCTGACTTAGTCCTGGAAGTGGAAAGTACAGTATAGTGCTTGCACTCTGAAGGAGGGGTAGGGATGGTGCAGTTGGGGGGGGGGGCATTTTAACTGATGTCAGAGTCCTTCAATTATTGATTGATTGACAGTGAAAGTATTTTCTCTGTCAAATCACCCTACCTCAGTGGGAGATGGCCAGAGTGTCATAAAAGATTTGAAAGTTACTATTCAATTATTTGTTTTAACATATGCACTGTTCCCACTATGGCAGAGTGGAACACGGGAGAAAAACATACGTTGCTCCCACCATAGCAGAGTGGAACACAGGAGGAAAACATGTTCATCATTCATTCTATAGCTGTCTATGCAGCAGTGCACACACCTCACAATATAAGTAAATTACCAAACTGTAACATTCCCACCTGCCCTTCAAATTATGGGCAGTATACAGTACTTCTGACCTCCAAACCTCAAGTTCAGTTAATTTCACAGAACATCTTCATATATATTACCCCTGTTCATACTATGAGAGCATGTCAAATCTCAAATCCACTTTGTCTCTACCTATATCCCATCTAGTGCGTACACTCACACATCATGTAAAACAATTACATCTGCTGGTCCCATCTAGTACATTCACACGTCTGCCGGTCCCATCTAGTACACTACACTCACACGTCTGCTGGACCCATCTAGTACACTCACATGTCTGCTGGACCCATCTAGTATACTCACACATGTCTGCTGGACCTATCTGCTACTCTCATACATGTCTGCTGGATGCTTATGCTCCTTTATTACAAACCTTTACACCTTCCTTCCAACTCTTTCTGGGATTTTTCCTACAGATGCATAAATCCTCAATTTCAACTTTTATTTTATTAATCGTATACAAATACAGGAGTACAATGTGCACTTCAAACATATGCATGAACTATTTTTAACTCTTGAACACATTATAATACTGTAGTATTAAAACTTGTATGGAAAAAATATAAACTAACAAATAAAGGTTAAGTTATAAGACATTTGAGATACATACTGTATTTTATTATTTATAAAAAGTAAAATTCATATAAAAAATTATACAATAAAACCCTGAACAAAAATTATTAAATAAATACCTGTATAAATATTAACCTAATTAATAACATGAAAATAAAACAAACATGTATCTTATTCAGAAATATTATATGAAATGCTCAGAAATTCCAAATCTTTCTTTCTTTCAATGCACCGGCTGTATCTCACCAAGATAGGGTATCCCAAAAAGAAAACAAAAGTCCTATTTAACTTTAGTAGTGTATACAGGTGAAAGGATTACTAGCCCCTTGCTCCCGGCATTTTAGTCACCTCTTACGACATGCATGGCCTACGGTTAGAAGAATTCTGTTCCTCTTCCCCATGGAGATAAGAGGAAATAAACAAGAACAAGAACTAGTAAGAAAATAGAAGAAAACCCAGAGAGGTGTACATATATATGCTTGAACATGCATGTGAAGTGTGACCTAAGTGTAAGTAGAAGTAGCAAGATGTACCTGAAATCGTGCATGCTTATGAGACAGAAAAAAGACACCAGCAATTCTACCATCATGTAAAACAATTACAGGCTTTCGTTTCTCACTCATTTGGCAGGACAGTAGTGCCTCCCTGGGTGGTTGCTGTCTACCAACCTACTACCTATAAGAAATTCAAAATATAAATTTTTAATTTTCCTAATATATAAAATTTAATTATAAGTTTGAATACCAATTAAAACAATCTCTCCAATTCATAATTTTACCAATAAGAAAGAATGCGTTTCTAAATTTTGCATTAGGAGAAATATACGAGATTTAAAATTTTCCAAAACACAGCATAAATTTTTTATTTAAATTATAAGACTCTGTAATTTAGAGTTTTTTTTTTTTTTGAGTCTAAACAGCTGAGGGATGTCCAATTTTTATTCACAAATTCTGATATGGAGATTCCTACTCAGGTATTATACCAAATAAGGTATACTGTACTTCTCTATTACTTTAATTTTTGTTATAATTATTGTACAGTATACTGTACTCTGTTTCATGTGTTGTCAAAATTGTCCCATACACAATACTGTAACTTCAAGTGGCAAGTGTTTCCATTTTAATTCACCAAACAATGACAAATTAAATTAAACTGCAAACTATTATAATATTCATAAGTCAGTAAAATATTACAAGGTATGAATAACTAAAAAAAGTGTAATGAACATATGTCACTGCTCAATAATAACCCACATGGAGACAGATACTCAGAACATTAATTGATCTGTATATTTCAACCCCCTTCTGGGATCCTCTTCAGCTGAAGTGAACCCCAGCAAAGGGTCAAATATACAGATTAATTAATCTTTTAAGTATGTCTCCATGTGGGTTATTTCTGATCATTATTTCTGATCATTATGACTCATGAAATCGTAATGACACAATTGCAAACAAACCATGGGACAGGTAGGGATTGAACTCACAGCTGATGAGTTGTAAAACTCCAGACCGACGCGCTAGCCATTGGGCCAGTTGGCTACAATAAGATTCATTCAGCTAGGTATATTTATACACCATAGGAAGGTTAGCATAGGCACCATTGTGACCACAAATGCAAGCTTTTACAGATGAATCTCCCAATTCAATCTCTGCCTGTACCGTGGTTTATACATATTACCTGCTGCAACCCAACATTATTATTAACTAACAAGTTTTAATAGTAGTTTGACATGTAATTAACTACATAATAATAATAATAATAATAATAATAATAATAATAATAATAATAATAATAATTTAACCCTTAAACTGTCCAAACAGATCTACATTCACATGCGTAGTGCTCCAAAAGTAGATCTATGTTTTTTTTTACATACATGTATTTTCAAATATAACAAAAAAAATGTAGATCAAAGATTTTTTACACATTTTCAAATGTAAAAAAAAAAAAAAGGTCTACATTTTTTACATACAGTGGACCCCCGGTTAACGATATTTTTTCACTCCAGAAGTATGTTCAGGTGCCAGTACTAACCGAATTTGTTCCCATAAGGAATATTGTGAAGTAGATTAGTCCATTTCAGACCCCCAAACATACACGTACAAACGCAATTACATAAATACACTTACATAATTGGTCGCATTCGGAGGTGATCGTTATGCGGGGGTCCACTGTACTTGCAAATGTTGAAAAAACGTAGATCTACGTTTGGACAGTTTAAGGGTTAATGCAACAGATGTCTCCCACCAAGGCAGGGTGACCCAAAAAAGAATAAACAAAGTTTTTCTTATTACACTTAGCAATTTATTTAGAAGGGATTACTAGCCCCTGTATTTTAGTTGCCTCTTACAACATGGTTTACTGAGTAAGGATTCTTCTCCAATTCCCCATGGAAATAATAATAATATAATTACTAAATCCTAGGTAGTAGGTTGGTAGACAGCAACCACCCAGGGAGGTACTACCATCCTGCCAAGTGAGTGCAAAACAGAAGCCTGTAATTATTTTACATTATTGTCTCATAAACATACAAGATTTCAGTTACATCTTGCTACTTCTGCTTACACTTAGGTCACACTACACTTGCATGTACAAACATATATATATATATATACACACCCCTCTGGGTTTTCTTCTATTTTCTTACTAGTTCTTGTTCTTGTTTATTTCCTCTTATCTCCATGGGGAAGTGGAACAGAATTCTTCCTCCGTAAGCCATGCATGTCATAAGAGATGACTAACATGCCAGGAGCAAGGGGCTAGTAACCCCATCTCCTGTATACATTACTAAAGTTAAAAAGAGAAACTTTCGTTTTTCTTTCTAGTTAACCCTGCTTCGATGGGATATGGCTGGTTCGATGGAAAAAAATACTAAATGCAGTAAACCCTTGATTTAAGGGACCTCAGTATAACGGGTTTTGAAAAAAAACAGAAAAAAATCCTCAAAGAAACTAATTAAAAAAAACAGATAATGTTCGGTCTTTTCAGAAATGTCCATCATTGTTACGATTGTAGCAAAACAATCTCATTTTGATCCGCCACTGTCGCTATTACTAGAAATGGATGGTCTGTTGTAACTACTTGGTACAAAATATAATTAGCAATCTATAATTTATTATCTTTAGCAACAACATGCAAACTTTAATTTTACTCCAGCTGGACGGATTGAAAAAAGTGTGACAATAATTTAACCTAATCATCTTCTGAAAATAAGACTACTGAGCTTACTTCATATTAGTAATTTATAAATTCTTTGTCGGTCATGAATAAAAAACTTTTCAGTTAGCTTACATAAGTTTCTGACAAAGAAAACAGGAAACCTTTCACAGTATTATAAGAAAGTTGTACATATATGGTTTAAAATTATGCTAACACACACACACACACACACAAATACTGGAGACTCATTTGCTTGGATATCTATTAGCTTTAAATGATTCTCAAACTTTATTAAATGCATCACATAAGTACTATGTATGTTAACATATACTCATCAGGGCCTTTTATCCATCTATACCATAATCATCACTGATGTAATGTATTACTTTTCCATGGACATTCAATATCTTAACAACTGCTTTTACTAAAGCAACATATCCACAGAGTCTTATGTAGCTGTATGACTAGATTAAAATTTGTACACACCAATGACTAGCTTAACTGTCACAGATGGTTACTAAAAAAAAAAGTATGTCAGCTACATTTCAATGTTATATTCAAATGTGAAAAAGCTGTGGGTTTAACAATCAGTTCACTATATTTCATTTTTGCTTCAGTTTTAATTAAATGTGTGAATTTGGAACATTAAACCTCAAAATAAACCACTTATCATTACCTATCCTAAATGTGTAAAACATTAAATAAGCCTCAAGAAGAATACATTTATCCTTAATTGACACTCTTAACATCATACAATGGTAGCTTTATGATGCAATCTAAAAGCAGCCATAATTGGGGAACAAAAAAAATCATGGTGGTAAAACAACTCATATTCTGAACATCTAGTATAACTGATACACAAGGACTTTATATTATTTTCACATACATCAAAAGCAAAAAAAAGTTTGACATGATAAATTGTGCTGACATTAAGCATTCAGCTATAAGCATTTCAACAGCACTAAAAGAAAGTGTTTGTCAAGTATAATCCTAAAATAATTTCACTGTAAAACACAACTTGAATGTCATCACTGGCTAAAAGTAACAGAATCTGATTTTGCTTATCATCTTTGCTACATTTAAGATTATCTTTTTTTCAAAGGTGAACTACACGACATACAAAATGTTTAACTGCAGATTCTTGATATTCATTTTTACTTTGAATGAATCAAGTGGGAGAAACTTGCTACAATACATTAAACACATCTTTTCACTAAGAAGAAAACCCTTCTTCTCTATCATGACAAATATTACTACAACATACAGTTTATTTCATTATAACATTGCTAACCTCTCTTAGGCACTTCCCGTTCGAATTATTTTGGTCAGAGAATTTACGTTGTTGTTCTTAATTGCTTGTCGACAGGCACTTATAACTGCAGTCTTGGATTTGCCGGCTGTTAAAAGAAATTTCAGTATTAAGAAACAGCTTTTGTTAGATTTTATACAATAAATATTACTGACATAGGGAAGCTATATTTTAAAAATAAATAAATTGTAGTCTGGCTTGTGTCACATACCTACGTAATCATTACTAAACAATGAGCAAAGATTATTATGTAAGTGGTTTTGATAACTGACAAGTAAATGAGTGAAAGACTTAGGAAACACTTGTGGAAATGTTACACCAACCATGGCTTTATCAATCCAAGACAGAAATGGTAAATGTGCTTGACAAGCATCTTATTTAATAAGCAACAAAATGGCTTTTTCCCTCAGTACTGTAATGATGTACAAGTATGGTGTATCATGTCTACACATACCACAGTGGTAGATAGCTACTGTAACATTACCCGGCTTTTAACCTTGATTCAAATACATATTGTGCTTTTGTCATTTCTACGCAATATATAATTTAATTCTTGTTTTTATTTTCTCCATCTCACTTCTCCAAGGTACTTTCTCAATGTACATATTTCCTGAGACAACCCAGCAAAGTTTCATACTGTATTTGTTTTTCTGTGTGAGTTACTGGCTTTTGAAATGTACATAAAATTATTAGCTCAAAAGTTTAAAATTCCTAAGGAAATATTTCCAGAGATTGCACTGCTTAACTTTCAACACTCCAAGGAAAAATCTTAAAACACCTATTAGAATTGGCAAAAAAATTAAAAACAAGACTGCAAAGCATTCAATTATGTTATTAGCAACCGATAGAGGCATGATAACAATGTACAAGATACTCAGAGGACTTGATCAGGTGAACTGGGAAAGACTGTTTGAGGTAGGTAATAGGTGCACAGTGCCGGAGTTGAAAGAGCAAGAAACATAAAGGTTTCAGGGATGTCAGGAAATGAAATGACCTGAACAATGAGGAGGTGCAACCAGTCATCATGTACAGCTTAACCCTTTCATTGTCCGTGCAGTAGTACTAAGGGTTTGAGATCACTGTTGGTGCCATAGTACTATGCCATGAGCTCAGCTCACTCAGGTAAGCTGTGAGCAGTAAATCTGAGCCTAGATATGAGAGAATGGGTCTATGCAGTAAGTGTGCACCATATAAAAAAAATCTTGCAGCACACAGTGCATAACAAGAAATAAAAACTGTGACAATGTTTTTGGTTTATAACAGTAACTCTGCGGTGTACATACTTTCGTATGGTTGTATTCTCAGTTTCTTGGTTTCATTTGACAGAATGGAAGATATATTACAGAAATAGAGATAATTTTGATTTGTTTCACGACTGAAAATAGCTTGAAATTCAGCTCAAAGTAGCAGAAATGTTTGATTTTTGCTGATATTCAAGAATAAACAAATCGTATCACTCATCTAATACACGTCCAGCTGGTGGGTCTAATATGTGCTCATGAATGTACTGATATTATTTATACACTTATTACAATATTGCACGAAAATAAATCTTCTAATTTTTGTGTGAATAAAATATCAACATTATCTATAAAGGAAAAGAAGGGAATGTACGAGAGTATAGTGGTGCCAACACTCTTATATGGGTGTGAAGCATGGGTTGTAAATGCTGCAGCAAGGAGGCGGCTGAAGGGAGTGGAAATGTCATGTCTAAGGGCAATGTATGGTATAAATATTATGCAGAGAATTTGTAGTGTGGAAATTAGGAGGTGTAGAGTTACTAAAAGTATTACCCAGAGGGCTGAAGAGGGGTTGTTGGGGTGGTTTGGTCATTTAGAAAGAATGGAACAAAGTAGAATGACTTGGAGAGTGCATAAATCTGTAAGGGAAGGAAGGCAGGGGTAGGGGTAGTCCTAAGACAGGCTGGAGGGAGGGGATAAGGGAGGTTTTGTGGGCGAGGGGCTTGGATTTCCAGTGTGCATGAGTGTGTTAGATAGAAGTGAATGGAGACAAATGATTTTGGGATCTGATGAACTGTTGGAGTGCGAGTAGGATAATATTTTATGAGGGTACTTGAGTCCTGGAAGTGGGAAGTACAATGCCTGCACTTTAAAGGAGGGATTTGGGATACTGGCTGTTTGGAGATACATCTAAACTGTCATATCTGCGAGCCTCTGTAAAGACTGATTATGTATGAATGATGGTAAAAGTACTGAATGATGATGAAAGTTTTTTCTTTTTTTGGGGGGGGAGGGTTTCTTTATGGGTCACACTGCCTTGGTGAGAGACAGCCAACATGTTAAAAAAAATCAAAATGAAATTCATATATAAAGCCTGGAAACGTAACTAATGAACAAAGGAAATGTTATTTTTGTGTCAGGAATGCCTGCGTTGTTTATTCTAGACCCTATTTTGAAACTGGAGTAGTACATGTATTTTGAAATTTGTGTGAAACTGGCCAAATTACCAATTTCTGATCACTTTATTGGGTAGTTGAAATAGTGACTGGGTAGTTTCTTGTGCTCAATTGATAAAATGGAAGACATATTAGTGAAATCAATAAGAATTTGGTCTGCTGAAACAATGTAATTGGCCTAAAATAGGACATGATGTGGACAAAATCACCTATGCGTAAATATCTCTGACACAGCAAAAGTCGGAAAAGCGTAATTTCGTCAATTTTTCCATCAAATTTCGTACTTTTTGTTTTTTTACCTTCAGATAAAGATTTTTTACCATTTCATAAGAAAAAATAACAAAAAAGTTTTTTGAAAATTCTTGAATGCTGTGGACAAGTTTCAGATCGGGGATCTGGACAATGAAAGGGTTAACAACAGGTATGACTGAGCCTATGCAACTAGGAAGGAGCAAACCCAGTCAGCCAATTATGAGGCAGGACCAGTTCAGACTATGCCCACACAAGTATAGCATATGCGAGAAGAGACTGATGAGAATATTTTATGTCCATATCATATATGAGGAAGGAGTATACAACACCCAACTTTCTGTGAGGAAGAGCCAGTGAAGTAACAACAGAAGAGAGATATAGAGCCATATAACACTAAAATAGAAAGATAATAATTCAAGATCAGATATTACAGTACTAGTCATTCCCTCCATCACAAGAAGACAAAATATTATATCAATATTATAACAGGAGCCATGCTCATACATTGATCATCATGAAAATGCAAGGAAATTTTTAAAAAATTCACTTACTCCTGAGTCTTCCAGCTTTCTGTATTGTCTGGTTGACCTGCTTCAGACAGTTGAGTAGCTCTTGGTGATTATTGCAACGGATCTTGTATCCACTTATCAGGTCCTTGTTGAGGTTGTATAGTTCACCATACCAATGACGCATACTTTGCCTGAGGAGAAAAGTTTTATTACTATTTTATTTAATAAATTAATTGCTTTGAGTGATTTGCTTGAGAGGTGGTTGCTGGAGGGAGTTCTGCTGGCTCCTCTATATTTGACCGAAGAAGCCTACAGTGTAGGCAAAATGTTTTGGAATAAAGATACCTAACTGTTGCACATGTGTCTTACTTATCAATTTGTCGGTATTGTATGCTGTGTTGTGAAAAATTAAAACAAAATACTTAATGACTGTGGAAGCTTCTCTCATGGCACGAAGGTATCCTCTTCCTTTTCACCCACATATAATATAATTTCATTTAAAATTCAAAAGAAAATTGTCTAGTTTCTTCACTAACTTGTACAGGAAATATTTGCTGCTGTGTGTAGCCACTGTCTTCAGTTACTAACAGCAAATGGTGGAGAAACATGCAAAACTATATGAAGAATAAAAAAGCACAATACCATGGTAGGAACAATACACAAATAACCTCCTAAGGGCAAGTTATCTGTGTAAAACTACATACATTTACACACAGAGTGAGCCATTAGACTAATAACTGAGCACAACTGATCTCGTTTTTTTGGGTACGAGGACAAGGGAGGGTATAAAATGCTCACTGGGATACGAAAGCAAACATTATACATATGGTTGACAGATAACATTACCAACAATACAGTGGGAATGGTGGAAAAAGGTGAAATGGTACTCAGTGGGGTTTAACTATACAAAATGTACATATACAGTACAGGGAATTAACATATTGTTAATTACTTAGTACAAAATAAATACAGTAATGCAATAAGAAAGCAAACATGAGAAAAAGTTCACTAACATGTCAGACATAAGCCTTGCATCCTCTGCTCTAACCACTAAGGTACGGATAACTCCTGAGTGATCTGCCATCTCTGCTGAAAGACGCTGACGTGTAGCATGGTACTCTTCCACACGCTCCAACACTGAGCCAAGCTGCTCCAGCTCAGATGGGAAATCTGCCTCTACCTAGTTTAAAAATATAAATAAAAATTATCAAAATATTGCACTCTTAGATCCTTCCTCCATAAGCCATGCATGTCATAAGAGGTGACTAAACTGCTGGGAGCAAGAAGCTAGTAACCCCTTCTCCTGTATAAACTGCTAAATGTAAAATGAAGAGCTTCTTCTTTTTCAGGTCACCCTGTCTTAGTGGGAGATGGCTGGTGTGTTGAAAAAAAAATTACTCTTAGCACAATACAGGTATTATACTATAAATATATCATATATACTCTGAACATAGATTATAATCCATATAATCCTCAGAATTTTTTGGCCACTAGCTAACTGCATGAACCAATATTTCATTAGACTTCATGTTGTTCACTACACTTGGCAAAACATTTGTACAAACAATTTTATGATCAGTGATAAACTAAAGGAAGATACTATACGCTCTCAAGAATGGCAGTCTTACCTGCAGGTCTTCCAGGTTCAGATAATTACTGAGAGCTTGCATAATATCCCCAGCCAAGTCCATATTGTCAGTGCGTACAGTGATCTCACACTGTGGAGTGGCTTGAACAATGAGAGGCATATTCGAACGCAATGACACGAAGGAAACGTCAAGTACACCTTCATCATCTGCTTGTAGATCATCCAAGAGCAGAAAACTTGAATTTATCCACATAACAATCTGGAAAAATATTTTTGCAGGCTTGATTCATGAGGTAGCATATACTGAATTAAAGTAAAAATTACTTTTCTATTTTATTCCTGCAGCATTAATTTTGTCATCAAGGATTTATACATCTTTGCCTAAACATAGTGTTTCTGAATAAGAATCTGAATTTGAGTTTGAGATTGATGTTACATAAGACCATTCATATGATCATACTGGAATTAATTTCTTTGGATTCTGATCTTTACCATTATAATATTGTGCATACTTTTGCTAACAATCATTTTATCTAAGACTTTAGTCTGTTAATATAAAAAAAAAAGGCTCACTGCAAAATAAAAAAATATATACAATAAGTAATATACTGAACAGTATTTAAAAATGGCATCTCCACAAAGTTATTCATCTCACAACTTTATCCCTCAAGTATTTTTATCCTATTATATTCTGTACAATCATTGATTATATATTGACAATCCACTGTCTGCACTATATCAATGCTATACAGCACTTTAAATATGTAACATACCCTTGCAACTCTCTCTGTCAGTTTGAACTTGACATATCCCTGAGGTTCGGTGACTGGCGTGGTGCAGAGAGCATACATTGAAAAGCGTGGAAGTTGACGAGTCAATTCAAACACGTGATAATGTAATGATGCCTTGTATCCCACCATGGCTTTGATGTGCAGGTCAACTGGAACATCCTACCACAAAGACAAGCTCAAGTTTTCATAAGAACATAAAGAAGGAACATTGCAGCAGGCCTACTGGCCTATGCGAGGCAGGTTCAAGTCTCCCACCAGTTTAAGCCAATGACCCACCCTAGTCAGGTCAGGTCACATCCACTTAAGGAAGGAGCACAGAATCAGACCCATTAGCACAAGCTAGTCAGGTCCAACTCACACCCACCCACATCCACTCACGTATTTATCTAACCTAATTTTAAAACTACACAACGTTTTAGTTTCTATGACGGTACTCGAGAGTTTGTTCCACTCATCCACAACTCTGTTACCAAACCAGCACTTCCCTATATCCTTCCTGAATCTGAATTTTTCCAACTTAAACCATTGCTGCGAGTCCTGTCTTGGCTAGATAATTTTAGCATGCCATTTACATTCCCTTCATTTATTCCTGTTTTCCATTTATACACCTCAATCATATCCCCCCCTAATTCACACCTTTCTAGGCCTTCGTCCTATCCTCATAAGGAAGATTTCTGATACATGGGATCAACTTTGTGCAGCATAATCTATATGAGTTCTAACCAAAGATATACAGAGTTGAAGAAAAACCTGGGGACTCCTATTATTTATGCTTCTTGATATGAATCCAATAATTCTGTTCGCTTTATTGCTTACACTTTTGCACTGTTGTCTTGGTTTTTGATTACTGCTAATCAGAACTCCCAAATCCTTTTTGCAATCAGTAATATTAAGATCTACATTATTTAGTTCATATGTGGCATGGTTACTTTCCTGTCCAATGTTTAGAACTTTGCATTTGTCTATATTAAACTGCATCTGCCACTTCTCCAACCACTGCATCAGTCTATTCAAATCTTCCTGGAGTGCTCTTATGCCCTCATTAGAATGAATTTGATGGCCTATTTCGGCAAACTTGCTTATGTCGCTGTTTATTCCCTCATCTATGTCGTTATGTAGATTGTGAACAACAAGGTGTCCATCACTGACCCCTGTGGAACACCACGCGTGACGCTCCCCCACCCTGATTTCTTCCCATAGGTGCAAATTCTCTGTTGCTTATCTGTCAACTATGCCTCTATCCAGGAAAAAATTTCTCCTCCTATTCAGTGTGCCTTAATTTTCCTTAATAGTCTCTGATGTGGGACTCTATCAAAAGCCTTACTGAAGTCCATATATACAATATCATATTCAATACCATGCTCTACCTCCTCAAATACATTAGTGAAAAAAGTTGATAAATTTGTAAGGAAGGAATGCCCTTTTGTAAAACTGTGCTGAGATTCATTAATCAATTTATGTCTTTCAAGATGGCTACAAATTGCCTCGATAATTAGTGATTCCATAAATTTTCCCACTATGGAGGTTAGGCTTACTGGTCTATAGTTTGAAGCTAAGAACCTGTCACCTGCTTTGAAAGCAGCTATCACATTTGCCATTTTCCACTTATCTGGCACTATGCCAGTTTGTAGTGATATGCTGAAAAGATTAGCCAAAGGTTTGCTAAGGGAATTCAACAAAAACAATAAAAATGTGTGAGAACCGTGACTGAAGTATAAGTGATACAGTAATACAGAATTCTTAAAATACTGTACAGGAAATCAAAAAAATATTAGAAAGTAATGAGAAATATAAGGAGACAGAAAAATAAATACAATTCTTAGTATACAGTAGGTGTCATAAATGCAAATGCCCATAAGTACACCTTTAGCAGATTACATGAATTTGCCTGACAGATTCGAGAAATGCCAGGGCAATTTTTGTATGGAAGACAGTGCTCCTTGCCATACTGGCAAAGACAAAGAACTGGCTAAATTGTTGATTATTCCATAATTAAATGGCAGGCCTGGAAATTCACTGAACTTAAATCTGAAAAATACATTTTTTGGTAAAAAAAAAAAAAAAATAACTTAACCTACGTTAGTACTGTACTTTACTCAAAATCTAGATTAGGTTTTATTATGTTCTCTTAGGCTGCATTAGGTTGTGTTCTTTTAGTTCTTGCTTTGTCAAAAAAGTTTTCTTTCAACAGGTACGAAATATAAATGTTCCCAATAATGTTGAAGAATTTATGCAATATTTTTATTTATTTTTTTATTAACACATTAGCCGTTTCCCACCTAGGTAGGGTGGCCCGAAAAAGAAAAACTTTCACCATCATTCACTACATCACTGTCTTGCCAAAGGCATGCTTACACTACAATTATAAAACTGCAACATTAACACCCCTCCTTCAGAGTGCAGGCATTGTACTTCCCATATCTCCAGGACTCAAGTCCGACCTGCCAGACTAAAGTCCTGAATCCCTCCATAAATATTACCCTGCTCACACTCCAACAGCATATCAAATCCTAAAAACCATTTGTCTCCATTCGCTCCTATCTAACATGCTCACGCATGCTCGCTGGAAGCCCAAGCCTCTCACACACAAAACCTCCTTTACCCCCTCCCTCCAACCTTTCCTAGGCCGACCTGTACCCCACCTTCCCTCCACTACAGATTTATACACTCTTGAATTCATTCTATTTTCTTCTATCCTCTCTACATGTCTGAACCACCTCAACAACCCCTCCTCAGCCCTCTGGATAATAGTTTTGGCAATCCCGCACTTCCTCTTAATTTCCAAACTAAAAATCCTCTGCATTATATTCACACCACACATTACCCTCAGACATGACATCTCCACTGCCTCCAGCCTTCTCCTTGTTGCAACATTCACCACCCATGCTTCACACCCATATAAGAGCATTGGTATAGCTATACTCTCATACATTCCCCCTCTTTGCTACCATGGACAAAATTCTTTGTCTCCACAAACTCCTAAGTACATCACTCACCTTTTTCCCCTCATCAATTCTATGATTCACCTCATCTTTCATAGACCCATCTGCTGACATGTCCACTACTAAATATCTGAATACAGTCACCTCCTCCATACTCTCTCCCTTCAATCTGATATCCAATCTTTTGTTACCTATTTTTTTTTTTGTTATCCTCATCATCTTACTCTTTCCTATATGTATTCACTTTTAATTTTCTTCTTTTACATACCCTACCAAACTCATCCACCAACCTCTGCAACTTCTCTTCAGAATCTCCCAAAAACAGTGTCATCAGCAAAGAGCAACTGTGACAACTCCCACTTTGTGTTAGGTTCTTTATCTTTTAACCCCAAACCTCTTGCCAACACCCAAGTGCTCACTTCTCTTACAACCCCATCTATAAATATATTGAACAACCATGGTGACATCACACATCCTTGTTTAAGGTGTACTTTTACTGGGAAATAATTTCCCTCTCTCCTGCACACTCTAACATGAGCCTCACTATCCTCGTAAAAATTTTTCACTGCTTTCAATAACCTACCTCCTATTCCATACACTTGCAACATCTGCCACATTGCTCCCCTATCCACTCTATCATATGCCTTTTCTAAATCCATAAATGTAATGAAAATTTCCCTACCTTTATCTAAATACTGTTCACATATATGCTTCAATGTAAACACTTGAACTACACATCCACTACCCATTCTAAAGCCTTCGTGTTCATCTGCAATCCTGCTCTCTGTGTTACCTCTAATTCTTTCAATAATAACTCTACCATACACTTTACCTGGTATACTCAGTAAACTATCATTTTTACAATCTCTTTTGTCCCCCGTCTATTTATATAAAGGAGCTATACATGCTCTCTGCCAATCCCTAGGTACTGTCCCCTCTTTCATACATTTATTAAACAAAAATACCAACCACTCCAACACTATATCCCCCCTGCTTTTAACATTTCTGTCTTGATCCAGTCAGTTCCAGCTGCTTTACCCCCTTTCATTCTACGTAATGCCTCATGCACCTCCCCCACACTCACATCCTGCTCTTCTTCACTCCTAAAAGAAGTTATACCTCCCTGGCCAGTGCATGAAATTACTGCCTACCTTTCTTCAAGAACATTTAACCCTTTGACTGTTTTCGACGTATAAATACGTCTTACGAGCCAATGTTTCTGACGTATATATACTCAATAATTCTAGCGGATTCAAATCAAGTGGGAGAAAGCTGGTAGGCCCACATGTGAGAGAATGGGTCTGTGTGGTCAGTGTGCACCACATAAAAAAAATCCTGCAGCACACATTGCGTAATGAGAAAAAAAAAACTCTGATCGTTTTTTTGGAATAAAACGCCGACTTTGAGGTGTATTTTCGTATAGTATTTATCGTTGTATTCGCGTTTTCATAGTCTTAGGTGATAAAATGGAAAACATATTACAGAAATAGAGATGATTTTCATTACTTTTACGATGAAAACGACCTTGAAACTGAGCTCAAAGTAGCGGAAATGTTCGATTTTTACCAATGTTCAAGAGTAAATAAATCACACCACACGTCCAATACACGTCAACTGGGGAGTCTAATATTCTTTCACTAGTGCACTGATATTATTTATACCATTTTTACAATAATGCAGTCGTCTGCATAACAGTAAATTTTGTATTTTTTTGTATGAATAAAAAATCAAAATAGAAAGCAATAATAATATAAGAGGGGCCTAGAGATGTGACTAATGAACAGAGCATATGTTATTTTAGTGCCACGAATGTCTACCTTGTTTATTCTGGACCCTATTTTGAAATTGGCATCTTTTTTATTTTGCGTGAAATTGGCCAAATTGCCAATTTCTGACCACCATATTGGGTAGTCCAAATTAGTAAATGGGAGGTTTCTTGTACTCAGCTGATAGATAAAATGTAGTTCTAAAGAAATAGCTATGAGTTTGGTCAACTGGAACAATGGAATTGGCTGAAAATTGGGCTCAAAGTCGGCGAAATCGCCGATATGCATATGTCGCCGAGACCGCTAACTTCGCGGGAGCATAATTCCACGAGTTTTCGACCAAATTTCGAACTTTTGGTGTCATTACCATCGGGAAAAGATTCTCTATCATTTCATAAGAAAAAATAATTTTTTTTTTTCAAAAATTGAGCGACATAGAATGACAGTTTCAGAGAGGGGCCTGAAACAGTCAAAGGGTTAAAAGTTCCTGAAAATATTCCTGCCTTCTACCCAGTACCTCCATCTCCCCATGTACTAACTCCCCTACTCTGTTTTTAATTAGCAAATCCATTTGTTCCCTAGGCTTTCTTAATCTGTTTATCTCACTCCAAATTTTTTTCTTATTCTCAGCAAAATTTGTTGACAGTGCCTCTCCCACTCTATCATTTGCTCTCCTTTTGCACTCTCTCACTGCTCTCTTCACCTTTCTTTTACTTTCTATATACTCTGCCCTTCTTATATCACTTCTGCTTTGTAAAAACCTGTCATAAGTTACCTTTTTCTCTTTTACTGCACCCTTTTCTCATCATTCCACCAATCACTCTTCTTTCCTCCTGCACCCACCCTCCTATTGCCACGAACTTCTGCCCCACATTTCTAACACCGCATTTCTAAAACTATCCCATCCCTCTTCAACCTCCCCCTCCCCTCACTATCCATACTTGCACTAGCCCACCTTTCTGCCAATAGTAGCTTAGATGTTGTATATAATTAGAAAGATTTTAAGAACCCTATTAATTTATATACAATAATTATACACAAAACAGTCACCTTTGGAGGGTACAAAGGTACCCTTATGTTGCTGCTGAGCGCTGATTCCCGGGGATGAAACACGTGGCTTTCTCCTTCAAAGATGCCTTCAGCAAATATGATGACAGCACGAATTATTGTATCATTTGTAGTGGCTAATGCAATTTCCACGTGAGGCTAACAAATAAACAATTACAATTTAAACAGCATAAAGAAATGTTATAACTTTACTTCAATATTTGATGTCATGTCTGAATCCTCTGATTCCTAATGTTCACACTGCACTTCATGACCAAACAAAGGCTCAAAAGCTAACAGCAGATGTAGTTCTCATACATGTACTTACTGGTATATTTTTATCTTCACTTCCCATATTAATAGCAAGGCCAGTCTGCAGTTGAGTATTGGCCTGAAAATCAAACAAAATCTATAAATTAAAATCTTGGGCAATTCTGACCATGAACAACTGACATTATGTACAAATAAAATATAACAGAAAATACCTCAAACTAGTTAAATACAATTAAGAACTTAGAAAAACTGAATGGCAGCAAACATATATAGTATAAATGTTGACAAAAATAAAATGAATGTAGAGTGATATGTAAAATGTGTTCCAGATTGTTAGAGGTCAATAGGGATCATAATTACAGTGTTGAATTTCTGACAAGATTTAGTACAGTGTGAAACACTTAAGTGAATGTAAGTGTATGAAATAGCAAAATATTGGAACAGCAAGGACTTCAGAGAGCATTGAATGAGATGGTACAATGAAATACCCTATAGCAGATATAAAAAAATTGGTTAAATATCTGTTCAATACAGTTACAGTTACATACAGTATTCCAAAAATGCTTTTAGACGTCTGGATATGATAACAGCTACAGTAAATAAGTTAAAAGACTGACCATACACAATAGCTACTTAGATTACCATCATCTTCAGAAAAAAAAAATGACAAACCCATAAGGGTCAGTCAGTGCTACATGGCTGAAGTGAAAGATGAAAAGGAAATAAGGTGTTGAGGGAAGAACAATGGCTGAAAGTATGAAAAGTCACAGATGACACAGGAAGCTAATGCTTGATAAGAACAACCAAAAAAATATCTTAACAGAAGTTACATCTTGAATTTTGGAGATTTTCTTCTTGCGATGTATTGGCCGTATCCCACCAGAGCAGGGCTACCCAAAAAGAAAAAGCAAAGTTTCTCTTTTTAAATTTAGTAATGCATACAGGAGAAGGGGGTTACTAGCCCCTTGCGTTTGGCATTTTAGTCGCCTCTTATGACACACATGGCTTATGGAGGAAGAATTCTGTTCCACCTCCCCATGGAGATAAGAGGAAATAAACAAGAACTAGTAAGAAACAAGAAGAAAACCCAGAGGGGTGTGTGTATATATATGTTTGTACATGCACATGTAGTGTGACATAAGTATGTATAAGTAGAAGTAGCAAGATGTACCTGAAATCTTGCACGTTTATGAGACAGATAAAAGACACCAGCAATCCTACCTTCATGTAAAACAATTACATACTTCTGTTTTACACTCACTTGGCATGACGGTAGCACCTAACTGAGCAGTTGCTGTCTACCAACCTACTACCTAGAAATTTTGGAGATATACTACTAAAGAATATTGGACGTGTAAAATTGAACATAAGTTACTCCTGCCTCGGTGGGAGATGGTCAGCATGTTAAACAATATCTAAAGAGAACATGATTGTTTTAAGATAAAAAGTGTTTTATTTTAAAATATAAAAAATATATACAAAATTACATATAAAGACTATCAGACTCTGAAGATTCTGATCCAAAATATTGGGACAAATTAAAAACTAAGAGTATTCTTCTGCACTAGAGAATCTATGTCAAGAAAAAACTAATATTTTGCATGATTAAACCCGTAAACGGTCCAAGCAGATCTACGTTCACATGTGTAGTGCTACAAAAGTAGATCTACGTTTTTTTTACATATTTTCAAATGTAACAAAAAAAAAAGTAGATCAAAGTTTTTTTACACATTTTCAAATGTAAAAAAAACAAAAAGAAGATCTACTTTTTTTACATACTTTCAAATGTTGAAAAAACGTATATATACGTTTGGACCGCTTACGGGTTAAAATCATTTCACAATCCTTATGGTTTTGATTATGAAAGTTTTGCCTTGGTTGATCTGTCTTTAACACATCTAATTTACCTAACTACTGGCCTCCGATAACCTGCTTAGCATTAATCACGTGGCAACTTACTGGAATGACTCCGACTTGGTCCCCCGCAGTAGAAGGCTTTCCTGAAAGAATCTCTCCAGATGATCCCATGCGCTGATTTTCCTCATAATTTTTTAACTCTAGCAGAAGGTTGTGGCGTCTCTGACTCAATTCTCGAATTGTTTCCTGTTCAATATTTGAATCCATCATGGAATACCGGCTCTCAGGTGAGGACGACTGGTAACCCCGAACTTCGTAAAAAAAAAAAAATATCCGGTTACATGGATTCTTTTACTGTTTCCCATAGTTTTCCACTATAACATAATAAAACTATAAAATATAGCTTTAATATGCAGCCTCTCCTCACTTAGCGACATACTTGTCGCTAAGTCTCTGACCAGTATGCATACCTAAATAATGGATATCAGAGCTGATTTCCTCTATTCTGTTTATTGCAATATACAGTACATACCTAAAAGAAGAAAATTAAAGGTGAATACAGGAAAGAGTAAGGTTATGAGGATAACAAAAAGATTAGGTGATGAAAGATTGAATATCAGATTGGAGGGAGAGAGTATGGAGGAGGTGAACGTATTCAGATATTTGGGAGTGGACGTGTCAGCGGATGGGTCTATGAAAGATGAGGTGAATCATAGAATTGATGAGGGAAAAAGAGTGAGTGGTGCACTTAGGAGTCTGTGGAGACAGAGAACTTTGTCCTTGGAGGCAAAGAGGGGAATGTATGAGAGTATAGTTTTACCAACGCTCTTATATGGGTGTGAAGCATGGGTGATGAATGTTGCAGCGAGGAGAAGGCTGGAGGCAGTGGAGATGTCATGTCTGAGGGCAATGTGTGGTGTGAATATAATGCAGAGAATTCGTAGTTTGGAAGTTAGGAGGAGTGCGGGATTACCAAAACTGTTGTCCAGAGGGCTGAGGAAGGGTTGTTGAGGTGGTTCGGACATGTAGAGAGAATGGAGCGAAACAGAATAACTTCAAGAGTGTATCAGTCTGTAGTGGAAGGAAGGCGGGGTAGGGGTCGGCCTAGGAAGGGTTGGAGGGAGGGGTAAAGGAGGTTTTGTGTGCGAGGGGCTTGGACTTCCAGCAGGCATGCGTGAGCGTGTTTGATAGGAGTGAATGGAGACAAATGGTTTTTAATACTTGACGTGCTGTTGGAGTGTGAGCAAAGTAACATTTATGAAGGGATTCAGGGAAACCGGCAGGCCGGACTTGAGTCCTGGAGATGGGAAGTACAGTGCCTGCACTCTGAAGGAGGGGTGTTAATGTTGCAGTTTAAAAACTGTAGTGTAAAGCACCCTTCTGGCAAGACAGTGATGGAGTGAATGATGGTGAAAGTTTTTCTTTTTCGGGCCACCCTGCCTTGGTGGGAATCGGCCAGTGTGATAATAAAAAAAAAAAAAACCTAAATAATGGATATCAGAGCTGATTTCCTCTACTTTGTTTATTACATATACAGGACACTACTGTATAAACATTTAAAAATATACCAAAAATATTATAAATGGTGCAAAGATGACATTTAAACAGTATCAAAGATGGCTGACACAAACCCACTACCAACATTTTATATTCCTCACTTAGCGACGAATTTGTTTACCGAAGTGGCATTAGGAATGGAACTCCGTTGTTAAGTGGGGAGAGGCTGTATTATAAAGTGTCTGTCACTCATCTATTCCAGCAATATATCATGAGATATTTAAAATTTCTTTGAAGTATTTTTTTATCCTTCCATCACTTTCTTTCCTTTGTCTATTGATTTTAATACATTACTTCTTGCCTTATACATTCAGTCCTTATAAGTAAACAAATTAAAAACATGTTTTTTAATCATTCTTAATCTATATTTTATGGTTAAGTCTCTCAAATTAAATGTTTAAATGTTTTGCTCATCCTCTTAAACTTCAAAAATTTACAACTTAAAACCCAAAAATATTATAAAAGTTAAATCAGCCAAACCACAATTGCAGGTATTTTATACAAAAATACATCATAATAAAACATTTATAAACTATTTATGTGAAAACTCACTTTCACCATCAACTGAGCAACAAATGAGTTGATTTTTGCCATCCATGCGATAGTCTCCTTCCACTATACCAGCTATAGTTGACGGAAAGTTGTCCTGAGAAGAATTTGTTTGATTAGTATAATGTATTACAACCATCTATTTAAAAGATAAAAATTATACATGTTTATTTCAAAAGATACAGTGCTGGAATGAATGATGTAAAGTAAGAGCAAAAATTATAAGCCGAGCAAATGACTGGAAAGACAATATGTATGTGACTGAAGAAGCACAAGGTTAATAAATGAAGGAAAAGGGATATGTGGATCAAGGGTAGTAACTAGAAAAGGGAAAGTGATGCATTTATGGATTTGGAAATGGCAAGTGATACGATGAATGAGAAAGCTATGTGACAAACTGTTGCAAATGTATGAAATAAGTCACTCTGTCTGACTTTTTTGGGTTATCCTAGGTTCTCTACACATATGCTGCTATGTATGATAATTCTATGTAACTGTATTTGTGTATACCTGAATAAACTTACTTACTTAACAGGTAGCAAACTGCTGCAAATAAATGAAATAGGTGATAAACCATTGCAAATGTATAGAATAGGTGGTAAATTGTAACAGATGTATGGAATAGGTGGTAAACTGTTGAAAGCTATAGTTATTGCAAAGTAAATGAGGCCCAGGGTAATGTAGAAAAGAAAAATGTTTTCTAGCAAAGAATGAGTCTTAGATATCCTTGTGTGATGCCACCAGTGTTGCTTAACACGTCCTTATTATTCATGTCAATTTTCTATATAACCTCACCTTAAAATGTATAAGCACTAGATCTGTTCAATAAATTACATACTGTATTATAGTATTATGTATACAGCACTCTGAATATCATATAAATTTCAAGTGAGTTTTTTATCTTATCTTTTATTTTGTTGAAAATGCTGTGCATACCATGGCATTTATAGTAATACTGTACTATCACCACATTTTTTTTTGTTTTAAATCATACCCAGCTTGATTCAAAACAGCAAACTGCTGACAACAGCAAAGAAAAGACATATTACTAAACAAGCTTTCACTGGGGGGGCAATGTTTTGCTGTGTAGTAATGTGTAAGCATTAGGATTACTCTGCCTGAAATGCACATGCATGCTTGCTGCTTTCTTTGTGCTTAACAATATTTTATTATATGTAAACTACACTTTGTATATTACACAAAGAAATAAATATAGTTTGTTTGTTTAGAGTTTTATCAGGTCATGATTTGATTAAGATCTACAAAGAGTGAAAAACACTGCCTCAGGGAGAGCTTCTTCTGCAATGTTTTGTTTCTTCATATACAACTTGTTCTGCATTTTCTAAATAAAAATAAAAATAACAATAATAATAAAATAATTTCATTATTAGTTTTCGTTTTGTTTTATTTTGTTAACACATAGGCTGTTTCCCACTGAGGCAGGGTAACACGAAAAAGAAGAAACACATCCATCATCATTCACTCCACCACTGTCTTGCCAGAGGCTTGCCTACACTACATATCAACACCCCTCCTTCAGAGCTCAGGCACTGTACTTCCCACCTGCAGGACTTAAGTCCAGCTAACCAATTTCCCTGAATCCGTTCATAAAAGTTACTTTGCTCACACTCCAACAGCTGGTCAAGTCATAAAAAACCATTCATCTCCACTCAGTCCTATCTAACACACGCACGCTTGTTGGAAGTCCAAGCCCCTTGCACACAAAACCTCCTTTACCCCCTCCCTCCAACTTTTCCTAGGATGATCCCTATCCTGCTTTCCTTCCACCACAAATTTATATGCCTTCCAAGTCATTTTATTTTGTTCCACCCTCTCTAAATGTCCGAACCACCTCAACAACCCCTCCTCTATTATCATTATTATCATTTAAGATGTAATTGCTAGTATTAGGGAATGATGTAGTCTTAAAAGATAAGGACTCTGATATACTGTGGCAGTTGCCACAATTGCTGTTTACTGGAAGATTCTGAAACAAACTGCAGAGGTTGGTAGAGGGGCTAGCTAAGGTACAAGAGGAAGCAAGTTGGCCATTGAGATACTTGGGGGAGGATGTATTACCAGACAGAGACTAGCTAAGGTACAAGAGGAAGCAAGTTGGCCATTTAGATACTTGGGGGAGGATGTATTGCCAGACAGGGGCTAGCTAAGGTACAAGAGGAAGCAAGTTGGCCATTTAGATACTTGGGGGAGGATGTATTACCAGACAGAGACTAGCTAAGGTACAAGAGGAAGCAAGTTGGCCATTTAGATACTTGGGGGAGGATGTATTGCCAGACAGGGGCTAGCTAAGGTACAAGAGGAAGCAAGTTGGCCATTTAGATACTTGGGGGAGGATGTATTGCCAGACAGAACCACAAAGGATGCAGCAAATCATAGGACAGAGTCAGTATAACATATATGCACATATACTAGAGAATCAAACATAATCTGACCTTAAAAACAACTTCTCCACTACGATCATTCCTAGCATCCATCTTGCCATTGCTCCAGCCAGTGATCAATTCAGGAACACCATCACCATCAAGATCATAACTGTAGATTGCAATCGCCTGGTTCTTAGACTAAAAGAAAATAAAAATTAATACAGCCTCTTCTCATTTAGTGATGTACTTGTTTACCGATGCCTCAGACTTACAGCGGGCTCTCTGACCAGTATTCATAACTAAATAATGTATATTAGAGCTGATTTCCTCTATTCTGTTTATTACAGTATACAGTACACCACTGTATAAACTTTTAAAAACATACCAGAAGTGTTATAAATGGTGCAAAGGTGACATTAAAGCAATATCAAAGATGGTTGACACAAACCCACTACCATTATAGTATGCTCGTCACTTAGCGACAAATTTGTTTAACGATGTGGTCCTAGGAATGGAATTCCGTCATTAAGTGAGGAGAGGCTGTATTTACTACAGTACATGTTGTACATAAAGCGAATTTTAATATAATAAAAATGAAGCTAAATATGTACTATATAATTTAACTCCACACACATTTCCCTACCTTTTGAAAGAGATCAAAGAATAGCACTATACTCACACTGCAGCCTGTCATGGTTTGGTGAACATAAAAGCTCAACATTACAATATCTGTCAAAGACTTTTTCCTCATTAACCAATATCAAATTCTCTTCTATTAGCTTTTCTTTCTTCATGACATTAAATTTATAAATATCAATTTTTCATTTTATCCACATTCATATTTTTTTAGTACAATGTTGTAAGCTATTAAAATTGTCCATATGCAAAATTATGCAATAAGATCAGAGTAAACAGATGATATTACAATATACAGAATAGCCACAGTGAAAAAATAGTGAAACACAAAGCACTTTCATAAGAAATCATGAAAGTGCTTGGAGTTTCACTATTTTTTTCAGAGTGGTTATTTACAAGCAAAATTGTGTGTAAAATTCAAATTCTTCAGCAAATTGAGTTGTATGATTTACAAAGTGCTAGTACCATCAGGTTATTCATTGTTTTAACATAAAAAAGCTGCTGCACCAATGTAATCTCTCAGACAGGTGAAGATGATGGTTGTATAGAGGTCCTGCTATGGAAGCAGTACTTAAGTCTGGCTCTCACCAACAGCCAAAATGGCACAGAATGTCTTATCCACTACTACTACTACTACTACCATAAGGAACCTGTTGCCATTGTATGCTGAATTATGCAAACAATGACAGTCCCCATGAAGGTTTCTGTCACAAGAGGAAATACAATGACAAGAAGAGTTAATCTGCTGTCAATTACAAGAGTACAATAAAAATACAGTAATGGATTTGGTCTTTTAAAAACTGAAAGGGAAACTCATAATATGCTTCATTAAGACACACAAAAAAAAGCAGTAATTACTAATAAATTACCTTAATTCTCCACCACCTTGCAAGCTTCTCATAAACACCGACAGTACCATTAGCAAGAGCATAGCCAAAACGAGAACCTTGCATGGGGCACAATGCAGTCACTGCTTCTGTTTCCGACATCTCATATAAAATTTCTTCTTGCTTGAAAACCCTTATTTCAAAATCCTCAGAACCTACCAAAAGCTGTAAAATAAATAGTAATTAACCAAAAAATTTAACTTACATAAAATGTACATATATAATATTTTTACACCTCTACTGTATTCTTTATTCATATTAAAGAAAACTGTTTTTCATAATACTACTCATACATCATGTAAGACTTTCTTCACTAGATTATTATATTCATGATGAACCTTTAAACCCATAGGAGCCACACAGTACAGGGGAAATAGGAGGTAATCAGGTCTGATCCACAGAAGGATAGAGTAGCTCTAGTTCCTTGTCTTAAGAGCTCTTCCCTTACACCATGAGAGGGGTTTATTTACTAGAGTTCTTGATAACTTTGCAAAATACATTATGGTGTTTACCTCATTCTCTCCGTCTCCATCGAAATCAGCAAGAGTCAGGGATGAAACATTGTCGCCAGTCACTGTCCAAAATGGGTCATTCCCCTCACTATCAAAACCATGTATGGAACAGTTTCCTCCAATGAGAGCTAGAGGAAATGAATGATGGCCTAACTGACCAATAGTGATGGCATTTGCTCCGTCAGATACCTGTTGAAGTACAGTTAATTAATATTAATTTTCTCCTCTTTCCTATTTTACCTACTTTTATTTGATCATGTTGTCAAAAGGGTGATGGTGTAATGGAGAAGTCTGTGAACTCACGGAATGGGAAAGATTTGAACCCACGGCAAGCCCATTCCATGACTTATTTACAATCGTGTTATGATTTTTCCAAGTCAATTGAAAAGGCTATAGAACTATAGTGAGTTCATCAAAATGACTTTTTTCAAACATTATTTTTGTAACTCATCAGAACAATGATAACACCTTAATACATTATACTGTATTTTTTAAGGAGTAGGCCAGATCAATGGCACTACTACCCACTCAATACTGTGGGGAGAAAAAATTGAAGAAAAGGGTATACAGTATCAAATATGATCAATCAATCCCTTCATATCTTCTACTTCCTCATACTGTATACACATGCACAGTACAGCAAAATACAGGTGCTCGTCAACTTACAATATTTTGACTTTACAATGGTACAAGAGCAATTACTTTGGAGATGAAATTTAAGATAATTACCCAGCATGAAGGCAGCAAGTCTGCAACTTGTATTCATTTATTTAATTTTCAATAATGGTATTTAGTTGGTTACAGTAATTATCTGTTTGTTTACTTATTCAATGACAGTAGTTATTTATTTACTTATTTATCATATATTCATATTCAACTTACAATACTTTTGACTTACAATGGGTTTGTCGGAAAGTAACCCTATCATAAGTTGAGGAGCACCTGTATGTAATAATAATAACAGTAGTAATAATAATAATAATAATAATAATAATAATAATAATAATAATAATAATAATAATAATAATAATAATAATAATAATAATAATCTAAAAGTTCTATTAATGAGCGCTGATACTGAAGTTTTTTCTTGAGCAAATTTATGCAGGAAGCTGCTATTTTCTCTGGTACAGTACATGATAAACATTATTTTCAGAGTATATATAGTATTATTAAAGCAATATCCAAACATATAAGAATACTTTATATCAGATAGCTATAATAATTAGATTTTTATGGTATATTTTCCTATAGTATAGGCCATTAAATCCTGAAAAGAGATTTGTATTAAAAAAATAAAGGCAGAGAAACTTACATCTTTATAAAACACATCTGAATTATTTTGAACATCATAAGCTAAAACATTAGTTGGTGTTCCCACAACTAAGATATCACTGTGCCTGTCCTTGGTCAGTTTTCCGGCAGTAATTGCAGATACTGTCTGATTAATGTTGAGGAGGGAGACTTCAGCGCTACTCTGGCTGAGAGACATACGGCCTCCTGCTACACCAAGCCGCTGATGAGAGTTGTGGATGAACACCTGCAAAATGTTTATTTGTTAAATATAGGCACAATACTGTGACTGGAACAATACACAAATAACCCACACATGAGTTTCATTCTTCTGTGTGCACTTACTTGTGTAAGAAATCATATAAACAGATGCCCACCTTTGTTTTCTAATCAAAAGTGTTATTTAACCCTTAAACTGTCCAGACGTAGATCTGCATCTCCGTGTGTAACGCTCCAACCTTTATTTTCTCCATTTGAAAGTTGTACCTAAAAAAAACATAGATCTACGTTTGGACAATTTAAGGGTTAAAGTTAAGGGGCCAAAAATTAATTTGGGAATGTAATTAAATTAACTATACCTGTACTGTACTGAGAATTATTCAATGTAATTTTTTTTGGCTCACACCTGAAAAGACCCAGAGTTATAATCCCAGATGAGGTGAGACTTACTAGAATCTCCTTACACCTGTTGCCTCTCTTTAATAACAGTAAATAAGTAAGTGAGTGTTAATCTGCTATTGAAGGTCACATTCTCAGAAAAGAAGAGAAGAGGCAACTCTTGGGGTTTGGGAAACCCAAAATTTCTTTCTTCATCTTTTTTTTTTATTAAAAAAAACCCCCATATTTGTATGTATGCTTGGCAGCATCCTTAGTTTTCATAAATTTAATCATTCCCATACGTTTTTTGTTGTGAAATGTTTCATTTCTGGGACAATTTAAGTGATTATAAACGTAAAAAATTTGTCCTGGGGCCAAAATTTATTTTTTTTTACAAAAACAGAAAATTTAAAAAAAAAAATTTTCACTGACCCCCAGTTTTTAAAAGCTCTTATGCATTCAACAGGGCTTTTGTTCATGACTCTACATAAGTAGCAATAGTTTTTCAAATTAAAAAGAAAAATTTTACTTTATCTGCAGTAGTGGAGGTTTGTAAGGCAGGAGTGGAAACCATCATTTTTGCCTATGAAACACTCGTCCGGTCCCTTTTTTCGGGTTGGATTCAATGAAAAATTACCGGAGGTACCATTCTTGCGCTTCATACCCCCTGCAAAGACACTAATGAGCGTTAGTAAAAATTTTTATCCAAAAATTTTATTATGAAAAAAATGCCAAGTTTTTAATACAAATGACATAATTTACTAGTAAAAGTTTGGTGAATGATTATAATGAAGTTTTAAAAAAAGAAAATTTTCGGGAAAAGAAAGGGATGCTCCTTTGAAGCAAAAGGCCTGGAAAAAGTTCTCCATCATTTGAACCTTCAACCTTTAAAATTCAAATTTTTAAATTCAAAATTTTTATTTTTTTCATGCAGTACAAAAAAAAATGTATTTTACATTTAATAAAACTTTGTTGGGCACAAAAAAAAGCCTTTAGTAGCAGACCCTTTTGGGAAAATCTAATCCCAGGGGAAAGGGCCCTCTTAGCAAAAGGTGTGAAACCCAAAATTTCCCCTGGTGATAAAATCTTTTCACAAAAAAGGGCCCAATTTTTTTTATAATCTATAGTATTTTAAAGTGAAAAAAAATATCAGTAGAGGGAAAGGGTTAAACAGTAATTTATTTGGGGGCCTACGAAAATTACAATTCCCAATACATAGTAACGTGAAAATTTTCCCTTTTGGATACTAAAAAAAAAGTCAGTGATTATTTCCACTGAGGCCCCAAAAAGGGGGCATAGTGTTGGGAAAACATACAAAATTTTTAAAAATTTTTAAAAAGGTAACATAAAACCCTAGCCCTGAATTATAACCAAAGGTCATTTATTATACGGAATATACATTCCCAATTGCCCTACTTTTGTAAAAATTTTTGTATTTTTTAAACCCTGAAAATTACGGGCATATTAGTTTTTGTATACTTTCCTATGTTTTTAGAAAAAGGGAAAAAACCTGAAAAAACTATCTATCTGGCAGGGGCATCAACGTTTTTATAGAAAATGATTTTTAAAAATTTAATTTTTTTTTTCATTTCCATGGTTTATTACTGTAAAACTGACTGGCACACTGATTTTCCTTTTTTCCTCTTTGGGAAAGCAGCATTAAGGGCACTCATTACATATGGGTCCCAAATTTGCTGCAACCATAAAGAGAAAGGGAAATAACCCTTTCCTTTAATTGGGGTTTGACGCCCCCCATCGCAGCCTGGGGACCAAAAGCTACTCCCCTGAAAAAAGTAAACTTTGATTTTTTTGGGTTTTACCCTGTTGGGTAATTTACACTTTTAATTACTTGGTATGTTTAACTGTATTTTTTGGGAGCTGTACCAAAATTTTAAACCTACTGGTCAACAAAACAGCTTTCTGGGGGTCTGGGGTTTTATATTATTATTATTAAAATAAAGGGGAACCGCAAAAACCCGGTGGATTTTTACAGCGCCGGGGGGGGGAAGGGGAAGGATTCGGGTTTTAATTCGAGGAATGGAGCACAGTTTCCCAATTCCCTAAATCAAGGGGCCCCCCCCAAAATAAAGGGAAACCCTTTCCTTGAGGGGGGGGTTGATGTTTTTCACCAAAAGCAGCTACCCAGCAGGGGTACTCTATGAGGGAAAAATTTTTCCCAGGGCGGGAAAAACGGGGGAAATTTTGACATGATGTTTAAATTTTAAGGGTTAGAAGACGACCAAGTAAAAAGCCCTTTGCAGAAGGCTTTTTTAAACAATAATAAAAAACCCAATAAAAATAAAAATAATATTTTTATCTCAGTATGAAAAACAAGGGTTTGTCCAAGAAGGACTTTTGGGGTTTTTCCTGCCGAAACCCCAAATTTTATGCCCCCTTTTAAAAAATAATAATAATAGTAAAATAATAATAAAAATAATAATAAAAAAATTTTAATAATAATAAAAATATCAACATTTACATATAAAGGAAATACAGGCCTGACTACTTAAGAAATAAGGCAATAACAAAAATTTGGAAAATTTAAGTCACAATGAATACAAGAGAACTGAATACTAAATTACAAGTATCACAAAAAAAAATATCACTGACTTTTTTGGGGTTACCCTGATGGTTAATTTACAATACTTTAAAAACATGTATGGTCATTATACTTATGTTACCTGTACATATATAAAAAAAAATTTTAACCTAGGTTCTATACACATATGCGTTATGTATGAAAATCTTTTGAAAAATGATTTGTTTTATACCCAATAAATTTCAACATGCAAATACACCTTAAAAGATTGTTTGTTTATTTCTAAGGAATCTTGTGTTCGAATTTCCAAATTTTTGCAACCTGCAAAAATCGGGGTTTATTATAAACTAAATTTAATAACTTTAATTCCCTTTACTTATTTTGCTTTTTTTCTTTATTCTTTTTAAAGCATCTGTGCGTTTTTAAATATTTTTAAAAAACATTACTTTTAAATCTTACATAAAGCAGTTTCCCCCTGGTAAACGGAAAAAACTTTTAAAACAAATAAAGGGGACTACAAAACCTAATACCATTAACAAAATAAAAAAAAAAAAAAATTTTTTTTCCCTTCTTGGACAACATAAAAGTTTTAAGTACATGTGGCTCCCATTTTCTTTACATTTATAGAAAAAAAAAGTTTTAATTTTGGGTTTACAAAGAATCCCCCCAAAAAAAATTGGGGGGCCAATAGCATTGGGGGCCCAAAGAATACTAGAACTAATATTACCAAAAAAAAAAAAAAAGGGCACAATACCGGGGTTTTGGGAAACAAAACACAAATAACCCGCACATAAAAGGGGAGAAGCTTAGGACGAAGTTTCGGTCCGACTTGGCCCCGAAAAACGCCGTAAATGGCCAAGTCGGACCGAAACGTCGTCTTTTAAGTTTTTCTCCTTTTAAAGTGGGGGTTTTTTTGTGAAATGAAATTACCTAATTCTAGTCTGTAAATAATTTTAGGCAATTAAAAGAAAAAATTTCATAGTATTTACATTAGTTAAAACCAATGTAATTTTTACAAAGGCAGAATTATAATGGGGGGGTCTTTTTTTCCCTTTCCCTGCCCACTTGTTCTGTGAGAACACTTCAATGGGTGGTAATTAAATCCATTTAAATTTTTGTGTGTGCCAGGGGGCTCGTAATTTTTTTTACCATGACCCAAGTGGTTAATAAATTTGTCTCTGTTTTTGGGTTTTGAGAATAATTTTCCTCCTTCTGTATTTAGCTCCTTGATTGCGGGAATGTGATCAAGTTGACAGTTGTTATTTCTTGGGAAGTACCCAGATAGAAGATATCAACTATACAGAGCCCTGCATCGTTTTATGATGTAAAATCCAAGCCCACAGACAGTTCCCAAACCATATATTTTTATGGGGTCATTTGTGCCCAAAATTTCGAACATTATCATGCCATTCAGCAATTCACAGTTTAGTTCCATTGGTGTTGTAATAGACCCCCCAAATTTTCTTAGGTCGGGGCTTTAAAAATTCCAAGAAGGATGGGGTTCACTATTGATGCGTTTGGGTAAAGCTTTAAAGGTCGAAGCGGTTCGCTGGGGCTTTAAGGGGATTAAAAATGTTTATGGAAAAAAGGGGGCCTGCATGAATTTTACCCCAGGGATACTGCTGTTAACCGACTCTGAAAGGGAAAAGGGAAAGTGAATGTGGAAAGTTCTTTTGACATACATCACAAAACCCTTTTGGTTGACCTTAGGTTATAAGCGGCATTTTCCGGGCAATTTGGGGGGAGGGCCCCCATTTTTCAATCTACATTCCTGCAAACGGGATGACTCAAATTTTTGGGTGAACTAATTGATGTAAGTCAGGCAACCGTTTCCCCTGATGGAAGCAATTTTTCCATGAAAAGATTTGAATTTGTATCCATTGTAGTGATTTTTAAAAATCTTTTGCTCAAAAGATGGTAAAACTATTATGCTTTGACTGCAGTGTGCAGACATTTAAAGAGAAAATGCTGTTTTTTCGCTTTACTTCAAAACCCTTTTTATTTTTTAAGTTTTTTTCGGCATTTTGGCAGCCGGGGTTATAAGGAAAATTTTTTTTAAAGGGAAAAGAGTTATGGGCTTTTTTTCTCACAAATTGCTGGAAGCTGAACGGGATTGCTGCATTTTTTTTGAAATCATCACCATGCTCAAAGAAAACATCCTAAATTACATATATTTTTTAAAAACTTGTCAGGATTTTGTTCAAGATCCCAAATTTTTTTCTGGAAATTTGTTAAAATATGAGGAAGGTCAGGCGAATCCAATGCCTCCCCGGGAGGAATGGCACTTCGGGTTAGAGTTTTCCTTTTAACACCTATCCCCTTTAAAACATTACCAGGGTTTTAATTAGTTTTCTCTTTTCATCTTTCTTTGCGGGAGGTCCTGTGCATCTGACTATCTCCAATTTCCGGGGGGGGTTCCCCTGTGGGGTCCGTTGACTGTTGTAGTTGTGTGTTTTTGGGAAAAAAATGACAAACTCATCCCCATATTCAGGTGTAGCCATAGGTATCGTAGTGGCAGACCATAGTTCCATATGTGTTTAGCGGGGGATGGCTAGCTCCCCCCACGCTGGTGTGTGTGAGGGCCCATTCTGGAAACACCAAATTGTTTGCAGTGGGTGGGGTTTTTCTTGCACCTTTGCATGGGTTCCCGTCTCAGATCTGGCTTGGTGGGACGGGTTGGCCCCATCCTCAGTTACCTTTAAAAAGGACTTTTAAAGGTTTACCTAAAGGTTTTTTGGGGGTTTCTGATTTCAGTCCTTGGGGGAAAAACTTTAACCCCCAACTTTTTTTAACATTTAATACTTTTAAAATTTTTTGGGCTGTCAGGGCCTACTGTGCATTCTCTGGGGGAATGTTTCCCAGCACACTTACCACCCCAAAAAAGGGAGTTTTCCCCACAGTTTTACGGGCATTATTTTATTATTAAATAAAAAAGAAGCGCAAAGCCACGGGTTTATAAAAGCGCTGCAGGGTGGGGAAAGGGAAAGAAAGGGGTTTGGGATGGCAGGGGAGGGGGATGATCAGCGGGGTTAAGAAAAAAGGGGGGCAGGGGTAGTACGGGGGAAAGGGGGTAGAAAAGGAAAACAAGTAAAAAGGGCTAAAAAGTATCAGAATTTGTGAAGTAAGTC